CACGTCGTTAGCAACTGTATTCTAATCTGTAACCTTAAAAGAAATCTTCAGTGCATCGTCCGTAGTTGATTCTAAGGGTTGAAAAGGAAGAAATAATTGTATATTTGGACCACAGTTATGTCACGGAGATGTTTTCCAGAAGCTATTGTGTGTGTGTGCGCGCGTGTGTGTGTGTATTACATTATTATCTTGTGAAATTTACTCAGCTGTTTAGCCTACAATCCGATACATGGCGTCCCTTCCACCCACAGAAACCCATCCTAGAACTCAAATCTCCTTTTTCAGGTTGTCCTGCTTGGCCCTTAGGTCCGTGGAGTTATCACCTGGGGATTTCACTTTTCATCAGTCTTGGGTTAGAGGCTGTGTATGGACCCATGTCTAATAGTCAGGGCCACTTTGGCTCCAATAACACATAAACTTTCAAATTTTAGTGACTTAACACCCTAGAAGTGCTTTTCTAGCACATGTGAGAACATACCGTGGCTGTTCCTGCTTCGGAGGGGACTTTCTCCACGTCACCATTTAGGACTTTTTGTCCCTCTGGTGGCTCCACCAGCTCCTGTGGTCTCTGGGAACTTGGGGAACTTAGGGGACCTTCATCTACATGTCAATTTTTCTTTTTTGTTGTTAACCATTTGGGATGGAAATGTTTCTTAAAGGCATCACGGCATTTTTCCGCTTTATTAAATATTGCACTGAACTAAACAATTTTATTTTGTCAACAATCCATAAGTGGCTGTCTTCTTTGCATTCTCTGAGGTTTCCCCAGGGCATTTTATTAGCACTGTATGACTACAATATCCCCTTTCATCCATTTGATGATACTAATAACAATTTTTACAAGTTCTCTTTTGTTCCAGGACTAACAGTACTTTCTCAGAGGCAATTTGCATTTGTTTAAGGTGGCTTTCTCCATCGTGCCTGTGGTTGGCCTCACATGTCTTCTTTTTTCTTGGTTGTGTGTTCCCAGTTAAGGATAAAGATCTGAGTTGTGTTCTAGGTAGGAAGAGTGTGTTTCCTAAGGTATTCTGTTGGAAGACCTGTTTCCTCATAAACTTTTTCTTTGACAGACAAAACCAAGTGGGAACCTTGACATGGGTAGGTCATGCTGATAAGAGATCTTTGTTTTCAGGCACAGATATGGGATGTCTGCCCAGCAGAATGAGAACTCCTCTAAGGTGCCATTAAAGATGCCTTGGGCTTCCCTGGTGGCGTAGTGGTTGAGAGTCCGCCTGCCGATGCAGGGGACACGGGTTCGTGCCGCGGTCCAGGAAGATCCCACGTGCCGCGGAGAGGCTGGGCCCGTGAGCCATGGCCGCTGAGCCTGCGCGTCCGGAGCCTGTGCTCCGCAACAGGAGAGGCCCGCATATCGCAAAAAAAAAAAAAAAAAAGTTTAAAAAAAAAAGATGCCTTGACGGTTGATTTTAGGAGAGCACACTCCACAGGGCCACATGGGGAAACAGTAGTGTGGGCAGGAGACAGAGCCCAGAACCTTTATTAGGGTTTCCATGGGAAAACAAGGCAGGAGAGGGAATTAGTTGAGGATCGGCTAGTGTGAATAATTTTGGTGAGCTTTAAGTCACAGGCAGCTAGCTTTCTCTAGTTGCCCTGGCATGATGCAGGCAGAAGAATATCATCTCCTGTAAAGTGGGAGCCACATAGAGGGGGCCTGGCTCTGGACTGCGTAGCTGGCATAGCAAACGCATGCTCCCAGCTGGACCCTTTGCTCTAAGCATCGATTAGCACCAGGAAATCCAGTTTCTTCCCAGCCAGAAAAGGTGTTTTTTGTTTTGGGTTTTTTGTTTGTTTGTTGCTTTTTTAAAAAGATACCAAACCATCATAATATACAGAAAATAAAATACAGACAACACAACACTGAAATCAGGGGACTCTGGGTGCAGCAGACTGCCCTCCACAATGTGGGTGGGCCTCATCTGATTAGCTGAAGCCCTTGACAGAAGAAAGACGGACCTCCCCCAAGAAGAAAGGAATTCTTCAGCAGACTGCCTTTGGACTCAAACTGCAACTGTTTTCTGTATCTCTAGCCTGTAGGCCTCCCCATTAGATTCTGGGCTCGCTATGTCTCCACAATCCTGTGAGTCAATTCCTTAAAATGAATCTCCCTCCGTATATACACACACATCCTGTTGGTTCTGCTTCTGCAGAGGACCCTGACTAACACAGATGCCTTTACTCTGAAGACTAACATGTATATGAGTAGCTCCAGTTCTCCCCTTGTTCATTCTTCTTTATTGGAGAAAGTTCCCCCTTTTGGGGAAACTTGTGACGAAACCTTGAATGGCTGAGACTTGCTAGTGCCCATGAAAACAAGAACGCGTGGAATGCCATGGCAGGTCTCTCTACTTGATTGGGTGACGTGCCTCATAGGCCCACGGGCCATGGAAGCCAGGATGCCACATTGTTCCCGATGTGGAGCCATACGAATTCACTATCAAACGCTGGTTTGAAGCAAAGCGAGGGTGCGTTTTGCCTTGTGCATGACGCCGCCTTCCTGGGAAGTACCTCGGTGACTGAGGTGGGGATTGGCAGGATGACTCTGCAGCTCCCATGCCTGTCTGTGCAGGTAGATAGTGTGCCTTAGTGGTGATTATGCGTTGCATCCTTTCCCAGAGATCTGGGCGGCCATGTCCAGCTTTGCTGACACAACTGCAGTGATGGTAGAGGTCCTCACTAATCAATTTATGTTGGCATTCACGTAATTCTTGACCGGAGTACCCAGCGTATCGCTCATGATAGGAAAAGTGCAGACACACTCACTAATGTGAACTAGGCTTCCATCCACCATAGCACCCTAAAGGGCAACAGTAATTAAGAGGGGAGGGCGTCCTTCAAACAGCGTTCAGGCAACACCGATCTCCTCCAGTGGACACTTTTCCCACTCAGAGTTGTCAGCGTTGTTTAATGACTATGAAGGTATGTGATTCAGCAATTCCTTAATGACAGCCACGGTAATAAAGGGTTGGATCTGGGTCTGTATGTACAGCTTACTCAAATCCATACTTTCTCTTCATCTAGACAGATGCTATAATAGGAACCATGAAATTGGGCCTTTCAGTCATTCGGGAGTGAAGTGCCTTGTAGACAGCCCCATGTACCGGCCCCCCTTAACTTCAAAGCCATCTTCCCTCTAGGCTGGTTCAGGCAATATCTTTTGCGTTCCAGTTTCACCAAAGGAGGGTGACACTGGGCACACAGGTGTAGGTGAATGCAAAAGCTCCCAGGAGATTTGGGTGGAGGAGAGAAGGGGAGAGGAGATGGGACATCTCCTTTAAAACTTGCTACCCCCGAGGAATGTAAGTCCTGGGGCCAAATGCTGTTGGGCTGGGAAGGGCTGTAAGAACCCTGCTAGTCATTCTGGTCTGAGCCTGTAGTCTCTGGTGACAGGGCAATTGATGTGATGCTACCACCTTCCCGAGATGGTCAGTGACCTCTTTGTGGCTGGGGATAAGTGGAATATTGCCTACCATGTCAGTAAACAAAGGATGTCACAGTCATCAGCGATTGGGGAGCTGGTGAGCCCTGAGGGAACTCAGGAAGGAAAGAATGCCTGCCATCTAGCCGCCATCAGACTGCTGCCACTCCCTACCATGAGCCCTGAGGAAACTCAGGGTGGGAACACACAGGATACTGACCCCAGATGGCTGAGGTGCATATCAAAGGAATGATTTCAGGGAGCCCAGACTCTTGCATCTTCCCATACACAGAAAAGAGCTAAGTTAAATTCCTTCACTTGGGATATCTGGTTTTCTTTAATTAACAATAATCTTTTGACATTCCTGACTACCTGCCCTTTGTTGCAAAACTTCTGTATAACCTGGCTCCCCCCTCGCTTCCTGGGAAAAGTTCTCTCAGGGTTACTTGAGATGCTGCCTCCCGGGCTTGAAGTCCTAAACTTTCCCGCCAAATAAAATATAACTCTCAACTTTTAGGTTGTGAATATTTTTTTAAGTCAACAGATTATTTCTTAGCCTTTCAGGAGTAGGGGGAGGCCTGGACGCAGTGTAATGAACACTTGCCGTGTTCCTGTTACAGAGAACGCCCGAGTAGCGGTTGGTGTGCACAGCATAATGGCATCTCCTCTGCCTTTCCCTCACAAAAGAGGGGTGTGGTGTCTAAATCCATCACTGGGGGATGGGGGAAAATTTTTTTGGTGGGGGCGCTGTGCCACGTGGCTTGCAGGATCTTAGTTCCTTAACCAGGGATTGAACCTGGGCCCGGGGTAGTGAAAACGAGGAGTCCTAACCACTGGACCGCCAGGGAATTCCCCCAAAGTTTTTATAATGTTTGATTTTTATTTGTGCTTGCAATTTATCGAAGTGGAATGTGGAATTGCTGTTGCCTGATGAAGGAGAGGACAGAAGCACACGTATCATCAGGAGTTGTAAGAAATTTATTGGAAAAAAGGGAAGGCAGCTCCCTCTTCCCCATCAGTGGGTGTCTACAGGCCTAAAGGTGCAGAAATGATGAAAGGCGGGGCAGTGGTCGTAGAGGATGCTTTTCTAAGTGACATGTAAATAGACCACGTGATTGTGCTGGAGTGAAGAATGGACACCCGGGAGCCCTACTATTAGGCCTACAGAGTGAAATAGGAATAGCTTTATGGTCCCAGCGAAGGTTCTCAAACGCTGAGGTTAACCAACCCACAACCCACTGCCCCCGGCCCAGGGAGGAGAAAGGGCAGTGGTTCTGGCCTATGCAGATGGGCAGGCAGCTGAGACCGCTGAATCAGGGGTGAACTTCTGCTGGGACAGAGGGAGGCCTGAAGCTGTGTCATCTCGTCATCAGGTGTCCTTAGTCTCACGTGGACCCCCTGCATCCCTCCTGTGTAGATCTGGTGATGAAACAAAGTGGCAGTGAAACAGGTCACACCCTAGTCAGCATCCCCCAGTCCCATCCTGGACAGGCTTTGTGGCCCAGCCTGTCTGCCCTTCTGACCTTCATACTTTCTGAACCTCTTCGAAAAGGAGACACAAGACTCATTTTGGTCTGAAGGACGTATGCCTCGAAAAAACCTTCTTTTATTCAAACAACAGTTACAAGTACTTCACTTGGCTTCTGGGTCCCCTCTGCCCATGCTCCAGCCCAAAGTCAACGGATGCAGCACTTGGCTTTTCTGCCGTAACAGGTGCCTTCAATCCTTTGGAAGAGCGGGCAGGAGGAGAAGTTGCAGGTCCCCCCTTTCTTGACACATATGTAGTGGTCGGACCTCTGGCCGAAACCCGTAAGCAGGTTAACACCTATGAGAAGGGAAAGAGAGCACTTCAGACTCCGGGCTTGCAGCCACAGGGACTTCAGAACACTCGGTGAAAGCAGAACAGACAACCCTTTGCAGAGCACGTCACAGGGGTTTCCCTTCCAAGAGCTTTGCACTCAGTTGATCTGTGAGGCTGCTCATGAAATAAGGCATCTAAAGAGACCCCTCCGTCCGAGGTCTGTGCCCGCTGTGGCCAAACAGTGGGCAGCCAGAGATGAACAGCAGGGTGCTGAGTGGGCTTTCTCCTGCCCAGGGAGCTTTGGTGTACAGGGAATTCACATTAGTCCCCAGATAGGTATTCGACCACTTTGTACTGTTGCCATCCCCTGTTTCAGAAATGCAGAAGCACCTTTCGAATTCCAGGAGCATTCCTGAACTTTCCTTTTACTCCTGTATTGTTTAGTTACATCATTCCCTCCAGCTTGAATCCCTGCCCAGCCCCCACCCCCACCCCCACCCCCATCACCGTGTCTGCTGCAATCTATGATCCTTTAATGTCAGGCTAAAATTATAGCTACTCTATAAAGCTTTCATCATTTTCCCAGTTGGAATTTATTTTGTCTTCCTCCCCGTCACAGAATCTCATAATTTGAAGACCTCTAGACTCGTCTTCCACCATATCCAGCAGAAAAAGCTGACCTCTGATACCCCTGGCAAGCAGCTATCTAGCCATTGTTTTGTGTCTCTCTGTCGCCAGGTGTTATGGCCTGAAACCCCCCCACACAATGTCCCCACCCCCCTCACTCATAGTTGAAGCCCTAAGCCCCCGAAGACCTCAGAATGTGACTGTATTTGGAGATGGGGCCTTCAAAGAGCTGATTGTGGTTAAAGGAGGTATATGGGTGATCACTAATCAATAGTGTCCTTATAAGAAGAGGAAATTTGGACACACAAAGGGACACGAGTGATGTGTCAGCACAAAGAGGAAAGGCCATGTGAGGACAGAAGGCGGCCCTCTGTCAGCCGAGGAGGGAGGCGTCAGGAGAAACCAAACCAACACCTTGATCTTGAACTTTTACCGCCCAGAACTATGAGAAACGAGCGTCTGTTGTTTACGCCGCCCACCCTGGAGCAGACACCCTGGGAGACAGGCTTCTAATCTCTGCCTGCTGGACACTTGGTTTTCATACTGATGGAAACTGTCCTCTCAGTAACTTCCAGCTAGTGGTGCTTTTCCTGCTTTATACAGAAAAGTCTAATCACTCTTTCAGAAGGCTGTCCCATTTTCAGTCATTCTGCTGCCTTAAAAGTCTTCTTTTTCTCATTTTTCTCAGTGTCTAGTTTCCAGACACTTCACAACCCTGTTCATTCTCCTCTGGATGTGTTCAGTTCATGGATAGACTTCCTTAAGTTTGAGGCCTGGAATAAACACAAAATACTTTAGACGTGTCCCGTCTACCAAGAGCAAAAAGAGGCTTCATCTCATTTTGTTCACTACAGAGCTGTGCTGTGCAATGTGGTGGCCACCAGCTACGTGTGGTGACATATTTTAATTAATCGAAACTACATCACCCACATTGCAAGTGCTTGATGGCCACGTGTGGCTAGTGGTTACTGCACTGGACCATGCAGCGGTAGAATATTTCCATCATCACAGAACATCTCATTGGACTGTGTTGCCATGGAGATGGAAGGGCATTGAGAGACACGCTGGTCCCACCGTCTGAGGGAAGCATCTTAGGCCAAGGCCACACAGTTGCTCACACAAAACACAGTCTCCTGATCTCCAGCCTGTATTCTTTCTATACATTGTACTGGTTCCTGCCAAGGCTGTTCAAGATTGTTCCAGGTTTTAAAAGCCTCACCACAATATCGACCTCCAGTAAGATCATAGTCAACTAGACTCTCTAAATCTCCAGTTCCAGCTTTTGTTGCTCTTCATTGGAAGATGTCAGAGCTGGAAAGATACTCAGTCCAACCCCTGCTGCAAGATTGAATCCTTCCTTCAGTACGTCCTCCAAGTGATCGTTATTAGGAAGATGGATCAAGCTAATGAATGTGAAAGCCCTTTGAAATCAGAAGGTCTACACTTTCTTTTTCTTGTTGTTGGTATGTGTGTGTGTGTGTGTGTGTGTGTGTGTGTGTGTATTTATACCAACATTTAAATATATGTATATTTAATGTTATATTTACCCTTCCTTTTGTTGGGTAAACAGAGGAGACCCAAATACAGCCAACTGTGGCTTTTTAGAGCCCAGATGGACCTCAGAGCTCAACTACTTCCACCTCTCTGTGATTCTCTCCCTAGATGAAGACGCTGAGGTCTGGCGATGCCCCCCAGGGCATGCAGTTGGCCACAGGCAGAGCCAGGACCAGAGGTAGATCCCATGACCCTCACCAGTTCTCACTCCACCTCTCTGCTAGTGAATTATGGTGTCACCACACTCAGCGGGAACTCATTTCTGGCGTTATCTTTGAGGATCTAGTACATTATAGGACCCCAAAGAAATAGCAACATATTTAACGTCAGGGTACTTTGGTTACATTCCTTGTTCTAGAATGAATTTGTGTGATTTTTAGCAAAGCACTCAAACTTTCTGAGCCCCAGCTTCTCAAATTTAAAATTGGAGAGACTAGATTATGTGATCTCATCCATTTCTAAGATTCTGAAGCTGGTCATCTTTCCTTTGGTGGGGAACTAGCACGTTTATGGTTGCATTTAATCCTCCAAGGAATGTATCACTTTTTCCTAACTTACAGACAGGGAAACTGAGGCCCAGGGAGATTCAATGTTCCCATAATCTAATCAGCCAATGATTATATTATCTTAATAGATGCAGAAAGATATTGGAAAAAAATCAACATTGATTCGTGATAAAAAAAAAAAAAAAGCTCCTAGCAAATAAGAAACTGGAGGAAACTTCCCTAATCTGATAAAGAGTACCTACAGAAGCCTACAACATACAGTACACTTAATGGTCAAGTATTGAAAACATTCCATGAGATTGGCAATCAGACCAGCATAACTGCTATTGTCATTACCATTCCTCATTATACTTGAAGTACTGGCCAGGGGGATAAGAGAACAAAAAAAAAAAAAAAAAGGTACAAGGGTTGGAAAGGAAGAAATAAAATTGTCTCTATTTGCAGACATTATGATTATATGTAGGCAATCCAAAAGGAATGAACAGGCAAATTTAGCAAATTTGCTGAGATCAACATACAAAAAAGAAAAAATGAATTTTACTTCTGTATATTAGCAACCAACAGAAAAAAGGAGATAAAATAAAAACACCATATAGAAGAGCATAAAATATGCCTAGTTATAAATCTAAGAAATTATGTGCAATACCTCAATCTATAAAGAATACAGTATTTTTTTGAATTTAAAGAGGCCCTAAATAAGTAGAAATACTATGTTTAAGCATTGGAGGATTAATTATTTTTAAAATGTTAATTTTCCCCAAAGTAAGCTGCAGATTTAACCCAATACCATAAAATCCCAAGAGATTTCTTTCAGTGAAACTTGATGAGCTGATTCTAAAACATATATGGAAATTCCAAGGACCAAGAATAGCCAAGACACTCATAGAAAAGAAGGCGGGAGAATTTGCTTTACTGGATTTTGAGACTAATTACAGAGCCACTGTAATTAGCGTGGTGAGGATACAAGGGCAGACAAATACAGAAGCAGGACAGCAGAAAGAGATACATGCGTATATGGAGAGTTGAAGTAGAACAACTGTGGCCCCGCAGAACAGTGGAGAAAAATGGTCTTCTCAGTGGTTGGTTCTGGGACAATTGGATATTCATAGTGGAAAAAAAAACCCTTTACTCTTAGCTCGGACCATACGTGCACACTAAAAGCCACTGCCAGATGGTTATAAGCCTAAATGTAAAAGGAAAAACAGTAAAAGCCCCCAGCAAACAGCACTGAACACTTTCTTCGTGCCTTTGGGGTAAAAAAAGATTTCTTAAGGTACAAAAGCGCTAACCCTAAAGGAAAAGATATGACACGTTTAACCACATTAAAATAATGTGGAAAACCTCTGCTTAAGGAAAGTTTCCATTCAGAGAGTGAAAAATTAAGGCACAAGGTAGGAGAAGATATTTCTAATACTTACAACCAACAAAGAGCTTCTATGCAGAATATATAAAGAGCTACGACAAATCATTAAGAAAAGACAGATAATCTGATAGAACATATGGGCAGAAGACACACAGGTACTTCACAAAAGATATCCAGGTGGTCAGTAATTATACACAGAAGTACTCAACTTATTATTTATCAGGGAAATGCAAATTAAATCGCCAATGCTATGCCACTCCCCTCACCAGATGGCTAAAATTTTAAAATGATTGACATTATCAAGTGTTGACATAGATATGGAAGAACAGGCATTTTCATTCATTGGTCGTAGGAGCGTAAGTTGATATATACGCTTTTGGAGAACAGTTTGGCATTATTCATTAAAATTCAGTAGTATAAGCACATGCTACGACCCAGCAGTGCCACCACCTCTTGACACGTAGTCAGTTGAAACGTATGCACAAACCAAGCTATATTATTCAGCATGAATGTTAACATGGTAAAACTATAAGAAATATGGGAGGTTATGACCATAAAAGTCAAGGGATGATTGCTTTTGGGGGAAGGAGGGATTTGTGACTGAGAAGCCTGGAGGAGAGCCTCTTAGGTGCTGGCCAAGTTCTAGTTCTTGGCTCACACTGTGGTTACAGGAGTGCTTGTTTTATAATAATTCATTAAATTATACATTCGAGTTTTATGTGCTTTTCTGGATACATGTTATATTTTACAATTAAAAATTAAAACAATAAGAGTTGCTTTTGAAAAGGTCTTCCGTGTATTCCTGGCACTGTGGGCCTCCTGTGCTACGTGCTGTGTACACCCTCTCCCATCATGCCTTGGTCCGTTTCCGTCCACTCCCGGGCATGCAAGCTCCTTGGATAACTCACAGCCCCGCTCTTCTCCTCCCCTTTCCCAAGAATGATAGTACGTCTCTAGACTTGTGCTCATTCTTATCTTGGTCCTTATTCAGCTGGTCTGAGAAATACAGTCCAACACATCATGTGGCGGCCTCTGGAGCGCCATGAACCAGAGGAACATGGAAAAGAGGGAGCGCGCTTATAGGTAAGAATGAAGGATGAGGAGGGGTGAAGGGAGCAGGCCTGTTAGGAAAGCAGGCTTGTACCAGCTTCTATGCTTGCAGCGAAAAGAGAGACTCTCAAATACTACACAGTTACTAGGCCAATTATAGCTGGACTCTCAATAATCCCACCCAAGTGCAACTACAACACCAGCTGTTTTTTAAGTCAACTGTAATAATAGGTGTTGGCTGAATGAAGGGCTGTTGTGATTAAGTAGCAGGAAATTAACTAGAAAATAAGTGCCAATGGGTCAGTCCCAGAAGAAAATGAGAGGAAGAACGTTCATGGCAGTGAACACAGGAGAGGCTTGACTGTTACAGAGTCATCAGGAAATAAATCTGCCTGAGGGGCATGGACAGCTGTCAGTGCTGCCGAGACGGGACACAGCCTGTGCAGGTCAGATGGTGGAGGTTCAAGGAAAAGGGCAGGTGAAAAAGTCTACAGAGAAGAAGATACATTGGAAACATGGGGAGGATCTTTGGACTTTATATAAAAGAGCCACGAAAATAAAATTTCTTAAAGAGCCTTTCAGAGAGACAGGAGCGGGGAGCTCTGAGATTGGGAGTGTGGTCCTCAGGCCACGGGCAGTGGACCCTGTTCCCCGGCCCTCTCCTCTGAAATTGGGTTGACAGTATACAGTTGGAGGTGCAAGTGAAGTTTTGGAACAATGTCAGAAGGGAAAATTGGGGAGCTTTTGACTGAAATATAAATTTCTTGTCCTAAAAGACCACCAGGCTAAAGTGGAGTGAAGTGCCGAAATGACAAGGGTTTTGGAGAAGAAGAGGCCTGAGCTCTACCCCTGCCGGGACCCCTACCCCCTGCCCTGGAGGACTGCACCACATAAGCAGCAGAAAAGCACAGGCGTGGAGAAAGTCAGGAGCCAGAACAGGGTTGACGGCACCCATGGATCTGAGATGTGACAGGAGCAGACACAGACACAGGTCTGAGGATCCATAGGGTGCAATCCAGATTTGCCAGCGCTGGCCGTGGAGTCCCACACCTGTGGTGATGCATACAGGGACTTGTCCGTGGGAAGCGACGTGAGACTGGTCGTCTCGGAATGTGGGCCTGGGCCAGTCAGCTGGGCTCTTTCCCCAGTCAGAACAAGGTGGCTGGTTGGCAGTGTGCCAGGGGAAGGGTTGCCCACGAGTGAGTGGGTTCCCTCCCATTGCGGACATTACAATAGAGGTCGCTTGTCCACTTAGGAGACGTGCTGGTGGCTCAGGCGGTCAGTGGAGGCCAGAGAGGGTCGGACTTCACCTCTGTGGATCTTTTCAAGATATCTGGGGAAGAAATCAAATATATACAAGCCACTCCTGCAAAACAAATAACAGAACTGCAAACCAAGTGAAAACTCAGGGCCCCTCTTCCACAGACTGGTCACCCATGACGTCCCTGTTCCTAGAAACGCTTGCCGGCCACTGATAACCAGCAGTGCCTCCTATGAAGGTCATGAAAGCTTTAAGTCACTTCCATCTAGATTATCCTTAGGATAAATTGATTTGCTGGTGACATATCCAGAGGTCTTTGGGAGGTGTGGGAAAAGAATATAGGAGTTCGAGTCAGAGCTGAATTCGAGTCCTTGGTATTCGCGGGCTGAGTATTTGAAAAGTCAGCCTCTCTGAGATTCCCTGCAAAACCCACCTCTAACGTGGGGATAAGAGTCGTCCCTGCATGACGGATGCAGGTGCTGGGGACACTTAGTGAGATGTTTTCGGAGTTGCTCATGGCACTACGAAGTACCACAGCCGGTGCCGTGTGACCGGCGTTTCTGAGGATGACTCTGTTTCCCCCGCATTGCTAATCGGGTGCTCCTGTCGGGTCTGCTTCGTAGGAATCAGGGGCTTGTGTCTGAGGCACCGGGGAGCGTGTTTTTCCGGACGGGATCCGAGGCCGTAGCAGGCACATTCCTGGTGCTGTTGCCAGAGTTCTGCGAGGTGGAAGGAATTCGGGCCAGCAGGTCTGAGTGACACACTTTGCGACACTCGGGTGTGAGCAGGGCCAGGTGGAGATCCAGGGTCACAGGACGTCGGGCTGGGACTTGTTTTGCCTCATCCGTCACTTTAAAGGTGAGGAAACAGAGGCCCAGACTCCCGGGAATGCACGTGGTATCCGTGTCCGGAGGGAAAGGAAAGAAGAGGACTGAGGATTGGGCCATGACTCTATCAGCGGCATTAATTTTGGTTAACTTGCTGATCACCTGGCAAAAGCACAGCTGTGGGCCCTGTTTACAGGAAGACCGTCCTCACTGTCCCCCTGTATCTACTGTCCTCTCCTCTGATCAACCTCCACGCGGCAGCAAACCAGTCTCTTTTTTAAAAAAATTAATTTATTTATTTACTTTCGGCTGCGTTGGGTCTTCGTTGCTGTGCGCGGGCTTTCTGTAGTTGCGGCGAGCGGGGCTACTCTTCATTGCGGTGCGTGGGCTTCTTACTGTGGTGGCTTCTCTTCTTGCGGAGCACGGGCTGTAGGTGCACAGGCTCAGTAGCTGTGGCATGCAGGCTCAGTAGCTGTGGCTTGTGGGCTCTAGAGTTCAGGCTCAGTAGTTGTGGCTCACAGGCTCTGGAGCACAGGCTCAGTAGTTGTGGCGCACAGGCTTAGTTGCTCTGTGACATGTGGGATCTTCCCGGACCAGAGCTCAAACCCATATCCCCTGCATGGGCAGGCGGATTCTTAACCACCAGGGAAGCCCAACAAACCGGTCTCTTAAAGAAGCCGTTTCTGATTCTGTCACTCTTGGGTTTAAAACCCCCTGGGGCTCACTCATACCCAGATGCGTTTCCTGCTGCCTCAGCCCTCACTGGATCTGCCCCCGCATCACCATCCTGGCTCCTCTCTGCTCCCTGGCACGCTTTGTGCCTTGAGCGGCCTGCAGTGTTGCAGCTGAGGGCCTGGGAGTCCCTGCTCTGCTACCAGTCATGTGACTTCATTATTGTTATTTACCCAGAAAATGGGAATAATGATTCTTCCTCCCCCACGGGGCCACTGGGAGGACTAACTAAAAGCGAGAGCTATGGTTTTCTATTTCTCTTCATCTCTAGGCTTTCACACCAGCTATCCTTTCCGTCTGCTTTGTCCTTGACTTCTCCCCTTTCACTGGTTTAGTTAATTCAGGGCTGCAAATCCAGCTGCCCACTGCAGCCAGGCGGGTAACACAAATCTGTGAAGTGGGCTGAGGTGAGGCATTAGGGACCGGTGGGGTCTGCAGTGACATGGGGGAGGGAGGCCCATCTGGAGGCACAGCCGCTGTTTAGTTGCAGCTCACTGTTGCCATGTAGGAATGTTGCCACATCTTTTGTGTTTTTAAGACAAGATAACACTTACACACTGCTGTATTTAAACTGGATAACCAACAAGGACCTACTCTGTAGTACAGGGAACTCTGCTCAATATTAGGTAACAACCTAAATGGGAAAAGAATTTGAAAAAGAATAGATACATGAATATGTATAACTGAATCACCTTGCTGTACACCTGAAACTAACACAACATTGTTAATCAACTATATTCCAATATAAAATTAAAAGTTTTAAAACTTTTTTAAATTTTAAAAAAGAGAAGATAAAAATCAGATTTTCTTTTCTTTTCTTTTTTTTTTTTTTTTGGTGGCATATCCTGACTTTTAAATGTTGGGAGGAAATTAAAAGAAATATTTTTTTGAAAGTATCATGAACACCAAAATGACTTACAATTTTCCGTCCCTGAGCTTCCTCAAGAACAGGTCAGCTCTCACTGTCATGTCTTCTCCTAGCGTCCTGCACTTAACAGCATTTCACAACACGGTTGCCATTAGTTAAGTAATTATGTAATCGGTTTTCTCGTCCCGCTCTGTTTCTGGAATGTGTAGAGATGAGACCCAGGGCTGTGTTTCCTGGCGCATCCCCTGTTCCTGGGCAACACCTGCCCACAGCAGCTCTTAACCAAACACTCCTTGAATCAGTGAGGGAACAACGTCAACCTGTCTTGATTTCTCAACACCTCGGCTGGGGTCCCATCCAGCTGATGCAGGGACCTGGGTCGCCTTGTCATTGTGACATCATTCTGCATTCACAGAAAGACCATTTGAATAAGATACAAGTGGGCAACCCGTATTTTTTTTTTTTTTCTGACCGAGATGAAAACTGCTAAAGAGAACGTCAAGTCTTAGGATCTCCTGTAGTGACCACAGAACACTGGTTCCCCCGGGTCACGTGGGCCTCGATTTCCTCACCTGTGAAATGACCAGGTCTAAGGGCTCTTCCAGAAAAGGAGTGAACTGACCCACGCGGGGTCTCAGCGTTGCTGAGCAGCCCCCGCTCCCTCCCTGCAATGACCCCGCAACTGTGCGGCCCACGGGCAGGGTGGGTATGGCAGGGGCAGCTGCAGCAGCTGTGACAACCCCTGCACAGCAGTGAGGATGCAATGACCAGAAGCACAACCGGTGCCTGAGGGTAAAGCAGAGACTAGGTGAGAGCTGCCTGCGCTGTGGCCCCGGGGCACTCAGGCTGGGGGCACCTGTGTGTTCCAACGCGGAAGACACTTGGGGCTCTTTCCACCCAGATAACAGCATCCAGACAGCACGACATCCCCCAGAAAACACTCGTGTCGAGTTTGCCCTTGCCTGTGGCCCTCTTTTAAGATGCAAACGTATTGGGACAGTAGAGGCACTGCAGAGGTGGTGCTTGCCGTGCAAGGACCTCGGCCGCTCGCAGCCTCCCAGCTCGAGCTGGGAGGTGGAGGGTGGGTGCTAATCTTGCCTTTCTAGAAGGTGAGCTGGGGTCAGCAACTGGTCCTGAGGGCCCCGGTCCCTATCCTGGGAATCCATTCACTGATAGTTCTGTCCAGACAGGGCCTGCCTGTCGTCGGAGGACAGCGTCTTAGCTGATCCCGCGTGCACTAAGGGCTGCACGATGTTAGCTGATAATTCACGAGTGATTAGTAAGTTTATCTGCTCCTGCACATACCCTTGGAGACACGTTCATTTTCTGAACTCTGCATGAGATGTTCGTAATCATATTTACATGTCATAGACTGAAAAGAGCTCTTCACGTTAACAGAGTGACTTTCAAACATTTTGAGTGTACCTGAGCTGCAGTAAGAGATTTTGCACGGCTACTCAGTACGAACACACATGCAATGAGATGAGTGTGATAAAACAGAGGAGACGCTGACTGCGTGGCATGCACTGGTATTTTCTATTCTTTTGAGAAAACAAGGTTGCAACTCAGTAAATTAATTTCTCCACCTCTCTTATGCATTCCACCTGGAAACCTTAAAACTCTGCATTGGAATACCTCTGAACCCAGTTGTCCGAGGGGAACACTGAGGCACCCCTGGAGCAAATTAGGCACATCTGCACACTAAAATGATGGCCTGGAGAAAAGCACAAGTGGGTCTTTCAGAGAATTCCAGAGCTCTAACACTTTTAGAGCCACCTGCCACAGCACGCTCAACTCGCAGATGCGGAAACTAAAACCCAGAATGTGAGACTCGCTCAAGATCACTTAGTGAGTGAGCGACGGGGCTGGGGTAAAATGCATCCCGATTCTGCCAGAAGAGTCTCACCTTCTCTTACGTCAGGGGCACTGCTGCCTTGACCCAGGGGAGCTGGGCCTGACACAGAGCTCCCCTGCTCTGCACTGGGGAATGGCCCACCCTGGAGGATGTGAACCGATTTCTCAAGGAAGGTGGATCTCTGACTGCCTGCACACGGGTGAGTCAAGGATTCCAGCTGAGCTGGTCTTGTGGGCGGGGCGGGAAGCATCTGCTCGCAGCAGGGCACCTGGGAGAGCCCACCCCGGGACCTGGAGAGAGATGGCGTGGCAGCCTGCACCTCTCGGCTGCCTCGGACCCTGACCTCTCAGGGTGAGGAGACGTTCTGCAGATGGAATAGGTGATCCCCTTCCCCATAGGATACTTGCAGGATGCCCGAGACAAAGACAGGGCTGGGAGGTGCTGGGAGCTGCCTGGCGCGGGCCTCCCATCCCTGCCAAGTGCAGAGGGAAGGGAGCCCTAAGGGACAGACAGAGAGATGGGAGTCTGGCCCTCCTGCAGCTCAGCTGCCCTCAGGCACCTGGGAGAATCGGCCTGGGGATGCTCCAGGCAGGCGCGCTTGCCCCTAGCGGCCGGGATGGCCCAGACCCTGCAGGCTCGGTAGGCTTCTGCCCACGGCCTTCTGCCCGCAGCAGGCCGCTCAGCCTCGAGGGTGCCTTCCTGCTGATCTGTCCTGGGGACACAGAGGCCGTTGCTCTTAGACTCAGCCCCAAGTCCCAGCCCCGGGGCGGGCGCTGCAGCAGGTCCCCAGCTCACCTGTGGCCAGCTGCGAAAAGAGGCCGAGAGCCAGCAGCAGCAGGTAGAGGACCCTCATGGTGGTGGCAGGTGGCCCGGATCCCCGGGGAGGGCAGAGGCTTCTTGGAGGCTGAGCTCTCAGAGGCTTCCAGCGGCTGCAGTGTCACTGTATTTATAGGGCTAGAGGATTGCACAATCGCACAGACTGATGTGAAGGGTGGTGTCGCAATCCTTAGAGTGAAATGCTAAGAAATAACCCTTCGCGGCAAGCCCTGAGTCAGCCGGGAGTCACGTGGACACACTTTTCTCTGTCTGGCTGCAGCTGGACCCAGCTCTCGGCCTGCAGGCGTGGAGGCAGTCCTCCGGTTCTGCTTTGAGTCTCAGCTGGGCAGTTCAGCTGCCGTTCCCAGCACAGGAGCTCCTGCTAGAACCCCTGTCGCTGGGATGGCTCAGGGAGCCCCGACAGGCGGCCCCGGGGAGGCACTGAGCCTGGTGGCTGCCCGGCTGCCATCCGGTGTCAGGCCCTTTAGCTGATGAGACCCCAGACTTCACCCTCTTCCCTTATAAAAGCCGAGCCCGTTCTTTTAACCTTTAGGGATGGAATTTTCATCAGGCCCAAGGTTGACTAATACTAGCCTTTTGAGCTTCTGGTTTTTTTTAAATTAAGATATCTCTGAAATCCTTTTTAATCTATGGGCCTCTTTTATCACTGAAATTTATTTTTTTTTATCAAGACAATTTTTTTAGAGCAGTTTTAAGTGCACAGCAAAATTGAGGGGAAGGTACAGAGAGGTCCCATATACCCCCAGCCCTGCCCATGCACAGACTCCCCCGCTATCTACAGCCCTCACCAGATGGTATGTGTGTTACAGTAATGAACCTCTGCTGACACGTCATTGTCACCCAAAGTCTGGAGTTGACATTCGGGTTCACTCTTGGTGTTATACATCCTATGGGTTTGGACAAATGGATAGTGACATGTAGCCATCATTATAGCGTCCTACAGAATAGCTTCGCTGGCCTAAAAACCCTCCGTGCTGTCTCTTCATTCCTCCCGTGTGTGCTCAACTGCTGACAACCACTGATCCTTTTACTGTCTCTACTGTTTTGCCTTTTCCAGAGCGTCATATAGTTGGAATCACACAGTATGTAGCCTTTTCAGATTGGCTTCCTTCACATAAACATATGCATTTACATTTCCTCGAGGTCTTTTCATGGCTCGATAACTCATTTCTTTTACTATTCCATTGTAGATGTAATATAGTTTATTTATCAAGTCACCTACTTAGGGACATCTTGGTGGCTTCCAAGTTTGGGCAGTTATGAATCCAGCTGCTATAAACATTTGTGTGCAAGTTTTTGTCTGGGCATAAGTTTTCGGTTCCTTTGGATAAATACCAAGGAGTGCGATGGCTAGATCATATGGTAAGGGTATGTTTAGTTTTGTAAGAAACTGTCTGTCTTTCGAAGTGGCTGCACCATTTTGCATTCTCAGCAGCAGTGACGAGAGTTCCTGTTGTTCGACATCCTCACTGGCATTTTTTTTTTTTTTTTTTTTTTTTTTTTTGCGGTACGCCGGCCTCTCACTGTTGTGGCCTCTCCCGTTGCGGAGCACAGGCTCCGGACGCGCAGGCTCAGCGGCCATGGCTCACGGGCCCAGCCGCTCCGCGGCATGTGGGATCTTCCCGGACCGGGGCACGAACCCGCGTCCCCTGCATCGGCATGCGGACTCTCAACCGCTGCGCCACCGGGGGAGCCCCTCACTGGCATTTGGTGTTGGCTGTGGTCTGTACCTTGGCCATTCAAAAACATGTGTAGTGGTATCTCATTGTTCTAACCTGCATTTCCCTGATGACGTATGAAATGGAGCATCTTTTCGTATCCAGCCTTTCTTTCTCCCAAGAAATGTGTTTCCAGGAAGCTTCCAACTGTGGCTTCTCCCAGAAGGCGAATCCCTAATGTGGCCCCTTGGAGTCAGGAGGCCCGGGGTCCAGACTGGGCTGAGTCTTCCTGAGCTGCCTGGATTGAAACTTATTCTTTCAACTGTCAAACTGGGATGTTGTGTTAGCTAATCTCTAAGCAGCTCTCAAGTTCTCATCAATTCTAAAGATTTAAAAAACATTTTCTTTATCGTTAATTTTCCTTGTAATTCTGTCGGCAACTTTCCTGATGTCTCTGTCAGGGTTCTTATTTGTAGGCACGAGAAGCAGCTCTGGCTGACTGAGCAAGAGAGGAGTTTGTTAAGAGGATGTGGGGTAGGGCTTCCCTGGTGGCAGTGGTTGAGAGTCCGCCTGCTGATGCAGGGGACGCATGTTCGTGCCCCCGTCCGGGAAGATCCCACATGCCGCGGAGCGGCTGGGCCCGTGAGCCATGGCCGCTGAGCCTGCGCGTCCGGAGCCTGTGCTCCGCAACGGGAGAGGCCACAGCAGTGAGAGACCCGCGTACCACACACACACAAAAAAAACAGGATATGGGGTAGCTCACAGAATCACTGGGTGCCTGAAGAGCCTGGCTTATAAGCTCTGCTTCCAGAAACAGTGTCCAACCTCCTGCAAGGGACTGGTCCGAGGAGGACACTGTAATGCAGCCACTGCGCGTGAGACAGAGGAGCTTGACTTTGCAGCTACTGCTGCCGCGAGCAGAGCGCCTGTACCGCGATGCCACGCGCCTTGCGGACACTTCCACTGCACCCCTACCAGTGAGAGACAGAGACGGAGGGAGGGAGGGAGGCTGGGGGGAGAGAAACAGAGAGAGACAGAGACAGAAAGAAAAGGAAAGAGAAAAAGAGAGATCAAGGCAGAGAGAAATGGAGAAAGTTAGAGGGAACTAAAAAGAGAGAGAAATAACAAGAGATAACAAAGACAGAGGCAGAGAAATAAAATGAGAGAAACAAAGAAATAGAGAAGCACACGTACAGAGACAGAGAGAAGGAAGCGCAGGATCAGGTCTCCTCTTCCCCACCCTTTTCACCTTGAGCCCCACCTTTGACGCCACTGTACCACCTGCCTGGGTCTGAGTCCCACTTGCCGGGTCTGCTTGGCAGAACCTTGGGCATAGGACCAGCCGCAGGAGAGCCTGGGAAAGCAAGAATGTGGCATATTCAGCATGTTTGGAGGGTCTTTTCAGCCTCCCGTAAGCTCCGGCAGTGAAGAATTCCCCAGACACTCAAAGGGGTGAAGCAGCCACGTGGACAAAAGAAATGCAAGCGTTCATCACGCTCAAACTCATTCATTCTTTCATTCACTGATTCAAGTGTATGTATTCGGTTCCCATTACGTACCAGGCGATCTTTAGGGGCTTGGGGTGCAGTGAGGAACAAGCTTTCTAGTGGTTTCCTGCAAAAGTCTAGTTGGGGAGACAGATGAGGGAACAGACGGTTGCCATGACGCTTGCTAGGTGCTCTGATGGGTGGCATGTGGGGACCACGGGCCAAGGCCAGTATCTGAGGCAGTGTATGTGAGTTGAGGCTTTTAGTGTCATCTGAACAGTTTTGGTTTTCTCCTTAAGCAGTAGGGAGGCCGCGGACGACCTGAATCAGAGGAAACACATGAACCAGTTGCTGCTTTAGAAAGCGTCTCAGGGAAGTGTGGAAGTGGATGGAGAGGGGCAGGATTGGACTCGGCAAGACAAGGGAGGAGCTGGTGCAGGGTCTTAGCTAAGGTCGTGAAGGGGAGATGAAAGGACACGTGGATTCAGGGGACGTTAAGAAGCAAAAGTCCAGCAGACACGGAAGGAGACAGAATGAGCGAGACTTCTGGCTCGGTGTAGGTAAAAGGTGATGTCACGGACCGAGGCAGGATAAACAGGAAGAGGAAGTGATTCAGGGAAATGATGGTGAGTTGCATATACGTTTGCACGGAAAGAGTGCCTTACATTGGGCTCCCCTAGAAGAGTGTGAACCGAGAATTTGAGTGAACATGGGGACTTGGGAGACGTAAAGAATAAGGTGAGGGGAGAGTTGGTGTGAAGAAGAGGAAGCAGATAGAAGTGTGTTATTAAGGCCACTGTTGACTACAGGAGCTGAATTCCACGGGGACTTTTGCAAACAGGGCAAAAGACAATCCCCAGAATCATCCAGGCCAGGGGGCGAGAGAGCTGGAGTATTTGTACCCCCAATGCCTCTTACTCATTGGTTAAAACTGCTTTTAGCGGGATGCTAATTCCTAGGCGTCGTGACCCCGACATTCAGAAGCATAAGGGGCGAGCTGCCTGGGGCCGAGAGGCAGGGGCTGGCTTTTGGAAGGCAGTGATTTGCGTGGAGTCTGGGGGAACGGGAGCCCCAGAAGGGTCTGCTGCTGTGAGATGCGCGGGATCCGCATGGGGGTCTTGCTGGCATCACACCTATGGGCTTGGCTCTCTGCGGACAGAGTCGGAAGGTACACCTGGCTTCCGAACTTATCAGCTTCTGTGGGTCACTTGAAGCCCTGGTAGTGAATGAAATCCTTAGGAAAATAAAGTTTTTTAAAAATCCCAGAGAACACTGACTTTCGAGGAAGGAGGGGAGAAAACCATGGACCGGGGGGGTAGCAGTCAGGGGAGGGAACATCTTTAGAGGAGGGAGGGGCAACCTCTGTCAGATGCAGAAAACTTCTCATGCAAAAAAGCGCCTGCTTCTCTGTTTCCACTCCGGCTCTGGGTTTGTCCTTTACTGCTGACACCGGAGGACTTCATCTCCACCCTTTCACTCTTGGTCCTGTCGTAACATTTGCTTTCGGTATTTTCCGCAGTCCTTCTATGCGGTTAGGACGGCGTGTCTGAGTGGCAGGTCTGCGTGGCCGCGTCCCCGCGTCCAGCAGCGGCCGGAAGCTCCGGCGGCCGGGTCCAAAGTGGATGTGATGAGGGGACGCCGCTCCAGGGAGCCTGAGGTCAGGGGAGGGGCCGCCCGGCGCCGGCCCTCCGCCTAGGCTGCAAAGGAGCCACAAGAAAAGTGAACGTTCCGTGTATTTGAAGGGGATGAGACGTCTCAGCCGCAGAATAAGGCGGAAACCTGGGCCCTTGGCTGTGTATTTGGGGGTGTGCTGGGGGCGGGGCGTGTGGTCGAATGGGGGTGTAGGAGGCTGGATTAAAGGGATTACGGCACAGAGTCTGTGTTTGCACGCGAGCCTCTAACCTTCGGCCTCCCTTT